TCCATCCATCCATCCATCCATTAATCCATTCTCCTCTTCCGCTTATCTGGGGTTGGGCCGCAGGGGTTGCAGCTTCAGTAGGGAGGCCCAGACGTCCCTCTCCCCAGGCATTTGGGCCAGCTCCTCTGGGGGAATCCTAAGGCGTTCCCAGGCCAGCCCAGAAACATAGTCCCTGCAGGGTGTCCTGGGTCTCCTCCAAGCTGCCATATTGGATCTAAAGTTGGCCTTTAAAAAGGATCAGACTTCCTGAGTGAGAAATCTGACTTTGGAGGGCCTTTCCAGATTCTTCCGACTCAAAGTTAGATGTTCTGAGTTGTGGCTACAGCAGTTAATATGTTCTGTGTCAGTTTAGCTGCATATAGTGAAGCAAAATATCAAAAAGGCAGCTAAAGCTTAGGGGCAAAGTGATCATTCTTAAAGGCAATGACCTAAAGCATCAAAATAACAGATCTCAGTCCCCTAGGTAATTAGTGAAGTAGCTGAAAAAGTTGATCAATTTCACCAGTATAGTCTGAGGGAATTGGCTGAAATTCCTGCAAACTGAGAAGAAGGTTGTTGTTGAAAGCACCAAATATTCCACCCTAAAAGTACCAAAACAGATTTTAAACATATGGCTAATTGTTCTGTCCTCTACCGAACAGCGATCAAATCGAATTCTAAAAGAATAAAAACAAGAATTGCTTCGTCTTATGTTTTAATGTCAGACTGTCTGATTTCTATCAAACTTTTAAAGTTATTTTCATGTAGTTTTTTTACAAACACAGAATTAATTACTCTTTTTTTTTTTTTTTTCCTTTTCTTTGATATTAGTTTATTTTTGTTTGTAACAATATGTTTACAATATGAGATGAGAGCTCAGGAATAATTTAAGGAAAATTAGAAATCCCCATTTATTTATTTATTTATTTATTTATTTATTTATTTATTTATTTATTTATCCAGAACTGAAACTTTAAGAAAAAAAATCAAACTGTTCTGAAAAATCTGTAACGAAGGTGTAAAACGATTAGTTCAAATCTATTTATATCATATGCTTTACTTTTAAGCCTGATACCTTAAAGTTTTGTTGCATTACTGCCCGTTTGTTGGGTTGACTCTTACACCCATTAACACAAATTCATGAGTCCTGCCTGACTAGCAGCGGCCGGAGTTTCTGTTATGGTCTAAAGTTTGAAGCATTGCTGTCGCTCGTCTCACTTGCCGTCTGTTTCCACCTCAGGCATCCCATCCTCGCCAGGCAACAGTTTAGATTGTCTCCAAGACGACAACCCGCCACACTGGCTCAAGTCCCTGCAGGCGCTAACAGAGATGGACGGTCCAGCCAGCTCAGCGGTGCCCACTCCCCAGCCCCTCAACAGCGGCCTTCTCGACGGCCACCTCCCCCTCCATCACAGAGCTCCCAGCGGCTGGGCTCCCTACCTGCCCCCTCCCACAGGCAACCCCACCGCTCAGTTCCACTCCCCCCCACCAGGCTTCCAGACCGCCTTCAGACCCCCAGGACAGCCCGCCACAGAGCTACTACAGAGCGCCGCTGTAGATCGCCACTGAATACAGACTGGAGCTGACAACCCATCCCAACCCCCACTTTATACCCACTCATCCTGTAACCCCACCCCCCCACCCGCTTCCTTTACCCTATTGCAATACACACCAATCTGCAGAGTATGAGAAATTAACGAAATAACAAACTTGCTTTCTTCTTTTTCTCTTCCTCTTTCCTTTGTCGACTCAGAAGGCATTTTTGTTTCTTTTTGTGGCACACAATCATCATCACATTTTTGTCTGCTGCAATCACCAGTCCTCACACCTAGTTCTGGGCGTAACATGGGATTCATTGTGTAGCTTTATCGTCAACGGGAAGCACAATAATCAGTTTAGCATTAAGTGCCCAGTGGTGACACAAGCTAACTCCACAAATTGGTAAAGAAACAAATTAGCAGAAGTGAGGTCTACTTTTAAAAGAATAACATAATTAAGCATGATAACATTTGTGTTTTTTGGAACCTTAAAGTCATGATTAGTTTATGGAGGAATGAAGCAAGCTGTGAATCTACTCTGAAGCTTTGCCCCAAAGATGCTCATCCTCCCCTCTCTGAGCAGGGGACTGAAACGGTTAAACCTTACAGCCTTGTAGGGAATCGGTCAAGGTGAGAGAGAGATAGTAGGATTTGGCACCTAGCTTACACGAGAGTGGGTTTTTATAACTATTAAACACAACTAGGGGGTGAAAACAAAATGAGATTGGGTTGAAGAATGGATTTGGATCCTGCAGAAGTTTAGCGGACGGGCTATGCATGGGCTCCCTGTTGGGTACGGACACAAATGGCCCACCTCAGAGGCCACTTGGCTCATACTCTCTTCAGTAAGGGGCTCCCATGGGCCCCTCATCCTGCTGGAGGGAGAGCTTTGCTGAACCTCTGTATCAGAGGATAGAGCAGCGCCTTACCACAGGGAGCCAGGGCTGTGGGAAATCATGGCACACATCCTGAGCACTAGGGTTAGACTCTTACTCACAGTGCCACTGTGTGGTACCTACAATAGCTAGCCCTAACATGAACAGCCACCAGATAGATGGGGGCAGTGACCAGATGGAAGAGGACATGTCAAAAATACAAATGAGAGTAGTAAAGAGGTTAGCGGGTCCCATTGTTCAATCCACGAGGGCTTAAAACGAGGCCTTAAAATAGAAACAGGAGAGGATGGAGCTCGAGTGTTTGAAAAGGGAGTGTTACTGACTGCTGAGAGTTATGCAATACCTTATGCGACCTCAGCAGCTTGTGTGAAAGTGTGCATCGCAAAAACAAGGTGCTGCAAGAACGTACCAAGTACTTTAGTAATAAATCAAGGAGCCCTCAGCCTTTCGAAATGAGATCAACCTCTCCGACCGCCGCCTTTATTTCCATGTTTGAAGTCTTAATTCTGATTCGTGTTCGCTCTGTCTTTTCTCTCTCTTGTTCCTGCACTGCCGCCTCTCCCTCACCCCCCCAC